CTTAGTCCTCTAAGACACTGACACTACATTGACAAAAATATTGAGCAGATTAATCAATAATGACAATAGTGATGTTTTGCAAAGTCCCGTGTGAAAAACCATTAATATATTACTTTAAAACAACAATGGTTTAATTTTGAAAGCCTGTCAAACAAACACAGTAGCGTAAAAATAAGGATTCCAAACTTTAGAATTTGTTTTTACAATTGATCTAGTAGCTTTAGTATCTAAAACTATCGAAACAGTTGTAAAGATGCAGATCTCCGCTAACAACTCTATAACCTGAACCTCCAATCGATTCATTTTGAAAAGGTGACCCTGAGATGCACAGAAATGGAAACAAAAGCACTGGAGCAGAAAAGGAAATGGAGATGCTTTTCCACAAGGCAACACAACCAATTTCAGGTGACATTTTACATCAATGGCAGACAATCGTGACTGTCGGCCAGAGTGCAGGGATGTCAGCCTGTTTGGCCAACGTGTCTGTTCACACTGCAGAGACCAGAGCAAAAAAGCAAGGCTCCTTTTTTTCTTGAAAAGTGTCCCGTGGTTTGTGCAAACCTGGAGAATTTGTTTCTGCAGGGAGCAGGCCTTGACTTCGACCCGGACCTGTCACTGTCTTGACAGTGAATGAATAATATGAAATGGCTGGCCAGAGAGTCCTCTAAGGTTAGGACTCAAACCAGGTCGATCCATGGAGCTTATTGCGAGATTAGAGGACCCTGTGGTTACATAGAGCCCAGTAACCTCAGAGGCGAGATCATGTGTGCGCTGAATTTATCTCTGACCCTCCATGTGAGTCTCTGGAGAAATGTTTCTCCAGTTAAAAAAGAGAAATGTCAGTGAGCAGTAGCTGAAGAACATCAAACTTCTTTTTTTTTTTATGGTTTGCCCCTTGGTGATCAGATCAACAACATGCGATAAATGGTGTGATCTTCCTGAGCCATTGACTTTTAAGAACTTCTGGCACTTTGAAATGTTATATCTGAAAAAGAGCTACTGCAGAATATGCCACTGAATATGCTTTCAGTATTTACCTGAGAGTGCCTACTTGGATTACAGTACTGTCTTTGTTATAACAGGATGGCAAGCTAGCGTAGCACAAAAACACTCCAGCAATAACCACTTATAGCCAAAGAATGAAAAAAAAAAGCTCAAATACTCCCACTTTCACTCCTAACAACAAAGAAATTAGATCAGGCAGGAGCCCTGGAGTCAGATTGGGTCAGATAGAAGATCAAATGTCCATCTCCCCTGTGGAGCTTTGTAAGCACCACATCAGCACCACTTTTCACCACCAGCTAATACACCTAATGGACCCCACCATAGAAAGGCTGTATTCCCTCGTGACTGCATGTGTGTGTGTGTGTGTGTGTGTGTGTGTGTGTGTGTGTGTGTGTGTGTGTGTGTGTGAGTGGGTGTGTGAAAGAGACAGTTAGATAGGTAGGGACCAACAGAGACGAAAAAACAAAGGGTGCTCTACACACAAGCTAAAAAGAACATGTGCAAAATGTGTGCTTAATGTAAAGACTGTATTTTTTCTAAATATAACGCAGCTCTTTAGTATTTTTCGCACCTTAATAAAGTTTACAGTAAACCCTCTCTTACTCCAGACAGGTTAAGAAGTGGTGATACACCATCTTGATCCACTATAAATAAGAGTACATTCAGTCTTGACATATTTACATATATGAAAATACAAATAAATACAGCAGATGTTTCTTTTTGGCTTCTAATCCCTTTAAAAGGTGAAGCATTGTCTATGTGTTGCCAAATGTCACAATTGCATATGTCTAGAAGTTACAACTAGGGGCCCGTTTCACCACATGTACAACTAGCAAGCTGCATCATCATCATCATTTCCTATCCCCTTCATTTTGTCTCGTTTTACTAACCATGCATGAGCAAGCGATCATTTGCAATTTGTGAGCAACAGTCATATGTGAAACGTACCATTCACGTGACGTCAAACAGAGTCAGGCTGCTGCTATTGTGCATTTTGGCTCACTAGAAATTCTCTGAATAATTAACTGAATATTAATTAGTATCATTGGTAACACCTGGGATTACCCTACTATTTAATGTTAAATGGCTGCTCTGAAAAAGGTCTAGTAAATTTTTTGTAAACAGCCTTTGTGAAACTGAGCCCTGGCGCAGAATATTTGAAAATGTTTTAGAAATTACCTGTAATTAACAGCTGGAAAAGACAATCAGGGACTCCAGGAAGTCACTGAACCTGGCCAAAATGAATATTAAAATGTCGGATAAAACCTTACGTGACCAAAATCCTCGAAATGAAACAAATGGCTCCCTATCGGCTGCAGTAAAATGAGTTGTCAGACCTTGTTGAAAATGCTGCCAGTCTTCAGTATCAAAATGTCTTATTACTTCCTTCTTTCACCACTTCCTCCTCCCTCCTTCTTCCCTTTTCTCCCCATCCTTCGCTTGCTTTATTTCTCTTTCAGCCTCACTAATTTGCAATTGATTAGCTGTCCTCTCGCAGCTCAGTCCCATGCTCTACACCGCTCGTAGCCTCCTTCCTCCTGATCCCCCCCCCCACTCCTTTCCGCCTCCCCGCCCGTCCTCTCCTCCATCTACGAGTCAATTTCTCTTTAACGAGGGCACCAGAGCCCTTCTGTGTAAATAAAACAGAGAGCAGAGCCAGAAATCAATGGGCTTATTACCCTCAGAAAATGCTAAACAAGCAATATTAGCAATTCGCTTGGTAGCGGAGGCCAACTGCCTTAATGGGACTGAGCCCCTCTCCCTGAAAACATCACCACCACCGCACCCCCCATCTCTCTTCAATCTCGGCATCCACTCAACGAGCCACACACGTTGTATCGTCATATTGAATGCCGTTGATAGAAAACACACACATTAACGCCAATGCACACTGGTGGACAAGTGCACACAAACACAGCCTGCACATCAAAATCATTTGCTTCCAAACGTCTCTCACACACACACACACACACACACACACACACACACACACACACACACACACACACACACACACACACGCGCACATACACACACACACACACACACACACACACACACACACAGGCTACTGGCAAAAATTAGGGATTCACTCTCCAAAACTGATTCCTGACAGAAATCATTGGGCACCACACAGAGTCACAGACACATTTTGCCTCTTTTTATTTATTCTTCCCTTTCCCCCAGTAAACACACACACACACACACACACACACACACACACACACACACAGCAGCAGCAACAGACAGCAGGATTTATTGTAGACACCCCGTATTTCATCCAACTAGTCTGATTAGTGTGCCAGTTAAAAGCTGCACGTGTGTGCAACATTCACACACAGAAACACACACAAAGACCCCCCCACCCCACCCACAAGAAAGTCTACAATATATGAACATATACACACAGACACAAACATGTGCACAAACGCATGAATAGTACACACAAAAGTAAATAAACAACTACAGTGTGCATACAGACAAATACACACATACTAAGCAAACATGTACACTATACGGGCTGTTATACAGACACCACGCACACACATATGTGCACACACACAGCAAAGTAAACACACAGTATAGATACACACAAACAGAAGATCATAAACACAGCAAGACAAAGGCCAAGCATTTATTACTTCCTCTCATACTCACACACACACACACACACACACACACACACACACACACACACACACACACACACACCATTTTGTGGAAATGAATGTGTAGCTGGTTAGCTGTGGCCCATTTATCCTGGCAGCTGATGTGTGGTTAACACAGCCATTTATGCTAATGACCCTCCATGTTTAAAAAAAGGCAGCAGTAATGTAAAGCCTCGTTAAAGGCCAAATCCTTGTTCATTCCAGTCATTTTTCAGCCCATTTTCTCGTTCAATTAAACTGATGAAATCATTATTCACTCATGGAATTACTACTCAACCTCACAAGACAACCAAACTGCTGCTTTTTTTTTGCCTCTAAATATATCACATTCGTCCGTAATGAAATGTAACACCTTTAATATATATTCTGGGATGATTTCCTTTTAACACTAGCACCAGTTTGTGCCTCTCATGTTTTACCGTTACATTCAAGTCACAGCTAAGCATCCAATTTTCCTTAAAATAATTACCCGGCGAACTTTGAAAAACCCAAAAGGTTGTTTAATAAAACTTCCCGCTGTGCTGTGCTGTATTTCCAGAATCTTCAAAGACTCTTCTAATCATCTGGACAAAAAATATTTTATATGTTGCACTTTTAACCCGTTTCTCAAGTTGCGACTGTATTTCCTGATATACGTGGCAAGAAAAGACTCTTCTGGTAAAACACCAGCAAAATATGAACGTATTATTGTGTATGAAGCATATTATAAAGAAACATCAATATATACCTATATATATATATATATATATATATATATACCAACCAAAACATTTTAATTTTGGTTCACGTTTGTTGTGGTTTGCTGCATGAAGAGAATATTTGTTCGTCAACATGTTTAGAAGAGTTAAATGATCTTTAGGGTTATTACGAAGATCACCTGGTAGATATTTTTGGGGAAACCTTCTAAATATTAGCTCTGTAGCTCGAATGTGATGGTAATACATAACAGTAGTAGAATATCATTGGCAGGGAATTTGTTGACCAAAGAAAGGTGACAAGATCTTTATACGCAGGTAGCAACAATTAAAATGTATGTTTATATAAATATATAATTCTTGCAGAAATTTAGCAGAACTATCAACACCTGTTTGTGAAGGAGGGGCATGGAAAAAACCATGGTGGAACATTTTGAAACCTGAGATATTTCGGTTTTAAAATTCTGTTGGTGATAAATAAATGACCTCCAATTCAACAGGACTTTGGCCAGCATAAATATGAATCTCATGTTTATCTTATTTACCATATGCATCCCCCTGACAATACTACAATGTGGTTTGAATCAGTTCGTCCTCTTTTTAACACTTGAGAAAAAAAAGCATTTCCTACCTGCTTGTGCATCTCGATGTTCAGCCCGTATGACATTTCATAGTACTGAAAAAAACAAAGATCAAAGCAAGGTTATAAACGGCCTTCTCTGTTCCTCTTTTTGCACACACCAAAAACTACTAATGCATTCATGCACACACAAACACACACACCACACAAACACACACACCACACACACACACACACACAAACGTAATCAATGAGACTCACCATGACATAGTGTCTCTGCATCTCAGTTTTCTCACTGGCCAGTTTCTCACACTCCAATTTCAGACTGTGAGGCACAAGAAAAATGTTATGTATGTGTATGTCATGATCAAACACACAGCAACCAACGCTGTATTTTGTATATATTATATATTGTATATTGATGTTTCTTTATAACACACACATTTGAAATAAAAAAATACATTGAAATCATTTGCAACCTCAAATTCTGATACTATACAGGATATCTTACATGTTTTATCACGTGAAACAAATTCACAATACACGACTTTGAAAATTTTAAATCGGAGACGCCACTTGCAGAATGCTGAGTCTCTAAGTGACTACATCCTGTTACTTTAAATTTGCATTTCTAAATTTAAGTGCAACAAAGAACAGAAAGAAAAAAAAGGTTGCTTAGATCACACCAGTTTCCCCTACAGACACTTACTCAGCAGGTACGGAGCAGTAATTAATGGATCAATAGACGACCACACAAACCTCATCATATATTCTTACAGTGTGAGTGGAGGCCCAAACTGCACCATCAACAAAAAAGCAACCATATAATGAGGATCCATTTTACAACTGTGGTTACACAAAAGCTTAACTCTTTCAAAATGTTGTTACTGGAAAGCCTCCACATATCAAGACAGCTTTTGTACATGTATTTTATGAGAGAACTGGCAGGTATACAGTGTTGCAGGTTAGGACACTGACATGCCAATTACAAACAAAAGACTGCATGTTACTGAAATGTGAATTATAGAATCAGCTGAATAATTTTGGCAGATTAAAACTTTGAATCTTTAATACTGTCAGCCTTAACAAAAGCCCTAATTTGAGCTTGATGATGATGCATATTTGACAGATGGTTTCATCACCCCAGAAGGTTAGAGAATTTACTTAGCCAGTAGTGAAACTATGCAAAATCATTAAAGTTGAAAAGATAATTACTTTGCTAAATGTTAAAAAAAAAAGTTTCATTTCACTTTCTTTTAAATACAAAAAAAAACCCCAAAGAAAATGATGATGTATATTCAGCGTTTAGATCTGACCAACCCTTTTTTACCAAATCAGTGTCTCCCTGCAGTGAGGATTTCACACATATGTAGCAGTTTGATCACAGTGTTACACATGCAGCAGACTCTATCCACGGTTCAGGTCATTCAGGTCCAGGTCTGGCCAGCAAACTGGACCGCTGGTTCATCTCACCAGGTGATTGGGCAATAATTACGAGGTGGCCGGAGGTGGGCGATTATTATGCATTGGTATCGTGCTTATGGTTCTGCCCCCCAAGCAATGTATTTCACACTTCATCATGTCGGGTAAAAAAGTATTTCACACCACTTGAGCTTGCCGAGAGAGACGTGCATACCAAGGTTGATGGGCTTTACCTGTGGTTAGTCACCAGTGATAGATGGGCCTGAGACAACTGTACCAGCAGTTCTACGGAGGTACTGAGGAAAATAATTTTATGGGATCTCCAGATGGATATTTACCTCAAACTAAGAATCTGATGTTTCTCAATCAAATCCTGAAAACAAAAATCCACTTTGTGTCTTGTCTTTCATGTCATTGCGTCATGCACTTCCCGTAAAATGTTGGTCATACTGTATGATTCATGCATGACTGGTGCAGGGAAGGTCAACATCATAGAAATGACCCTTTTTCTCACATAATCTGCCGGGGGGGGTCAGTTTATAATAGAGACTAGGGCTGCAGCAGTTATGTTCAGTATTGATTAATCTACTGATTATTAATGGTTTGGAATGTATAAGGTCAGCAAATTGTGAAAAAAACTCATTACAATAATTAATTAATCGTTGCAGCTCGACTATGGACCCAGAATAACACCGATTCAATCTACAATCATTCTTCAGTCAAATGCGTTAAGTTTCATTAGTATTTTTGGTCACTGTTTTGCTGATGAGCAGACCCTTTTTCAGCGTTAACCTCGCGCTCCATCCAAATTCTTACCTGTGATACTGGGCTTGCAGGAAGTGGAACTCCTCCTTGATCCGGTCGCAGGACTCGGTGACGGTGAACTTTAACGGCTGTCCCGGCTGGTGGGGGACCTCAACCCAAACCAAACAGCGTGGGGGGGGAGAGAGGAAGAACTGAGCCACCAAAGTTCAGTGTCACGACACACACACACACACACACACACACACCCACACACACACACACACACAAGATTGTATATGACAATAGGCCTCTGTGATTTGGCCTTTTGGTTTCACTCAGACTCCTTACACGTTAACCCACGCACACTCACAGACTCACACATGCAGCTGCAGCAGTTTGACAATGAGCGCAATTGTCCGTGTGAGCGCGCAGTGGCACGGAAACTTGATCTAAACTGATTACGCATCAGGCGCGCGGCTGTTAATCTGCGCTGTTTTGACATACTGCCTTGGCTGCTACTGCTCTCCACTTACCGGATGCCGAGCCGGGGGGTACATCTTGCTCAGATCTCGAATCATTAAAAATGTATTGCAAAGTTCATCCACATAAACGCGAAAACAAAATGATTGAGCACGGATCTTTCCCCGTGCGTAAAAGGTCAGTCAGTGGCCGGCTCTTGGGCTATGTGCAGGTTCCGTGAAGAGTGGAAACATCCTCGGACCTGTGGTCGATCGTCATTCTTTTAGACAATATTTCAAAAGTCCATTCAGTGTGATAACCAAAGCAGGAGTTGTCTCAGTCTTCTCCAAAAAAAAAAAAGCTCCAGCGCGTTATTCTATGCGCACGGAGCTGAATATTGTCCCTATTAACTAACAACGAGTCCTCTATTTCCTCTGGTTTTCCCTACAAACAATCGACTTCTGGCACATCATGACCCTGCTTGTCCGCGACTGAGCTTCTCCACGGCGTCCCGTCGTCACGCATTTATCGGTTAATTTCCTACAGCCTCCGTTAATGCTCACATCCTCTCACAGCACCGGCGGAGCGACCACCTCACAGACTGTAGCAGCCCGCCCCTGCCAAGCCAAATTTAGAAGCAACCAGTCGCACGAGCGCAATTACATATTCACAACAATTATAAGAGCCCGCACCATGACGTCGGGACGTGTAGTTTAATTCATATTAGTCGATAATAAGCACTACAGATGTGCGTCCGCTGTAAAGAACTACAATTTCCCGGTTCCTCCGCGAAGCCCCCCAAAGCCAATGGTGTGTGGTCTGAGGGAGGAGCGGCCATTAAAGACAGCCAATAGCGACAGAGAAGCGCACATACCGCGCTTCATTCTCCTGTCAATCATCGATAAACTGTCCAATCACCTCCAACATGATGAGATTTAGCCAGGCTGCCCCACGTGGGGGCTCGGTCTGGTACTAAAAGATGTCACAGGGATTAATCTGGAAACTATCTGTTGACTTATGTGGTTTTTTTATAGAGACTTCCAGGCTGAAGAGAACATATGGCCCCGAGGTGTCTCGTGTTTTTCCTGTTTTTTAATTGAATCGCCCATTAAAAGAGACTGCTGTTCTGTCCACAGATTGCACTTACAACCCTGCAATTAAATTCTCATTGAGCACACTGTACATACATCTGCCTGTTTGTATAGGATGTAAATCATATTGGGGTAGACAAAATATTGTAAACACTCATTATTACTATTACTAGGTTTGGGTATATTAGGCTGCAGTCTCATTAGCACTTTCTCAAATCACTTTATTCTGTCTTGAATTCATGTGTTGGAACATATTTTCAAGGTTTTTTATTTTGTTCCGCTTTACATAAAATCCATTTGAGTGATGCATTTGTAGTTTGTAAGTGGTGGAAGAAGTAGAAGAAGAAGTTTTACTTAAGTAAAAGTAGGAACACCACTGACAGCGATACTATGCATTAAAAATTCTTATGAGTTAATAGTATTATGTAAAAATATATAAAATATAGGCCACTATGAGTACCAAAAATACTTATTGCATGCATCTCAGGATAATATACATATATTGTTGGATTATTGATTAATTATTAATTTGTACATCACTTTAATGTTGCCACTGCTAAAGGTGGGGCTAACTGTATTTACTTTATATACTTTCCCCTCTAGGTGATTGACCAATATATTAACCTATATACATACCATCATCATTTATTCCTTAATAAACTTAAGTTATCAAATACATGTAAAAACTACAACGTTGAATTGTAGCGGAGCAGATAAAGTAGCAGAAAATGGAAATGTACAAGTGAAGTACGAGTCAAAATCGGAAGAACCAAAAACAGTAAAGCTGTGGGCCGGAGAGCTAACCAATGATCTCTAAACTCACTATAAAGCATAAAACCAAGTAGAGCTGCAGTGTCGGGTGTTAATTCTCTGTAGGTTCATCGCTACAAATGACCCCTTTCACACTGTCACATTATTTAACATCACAGCCACTTCAAATCATACACAGCTACTTAAAGGAGCAGAATCAACTTGCATGACATTTTTGCATTATTTGTCCCCCCCCCCTCCATAATTAAGGCACCTATTGCTGAATAAACTGAAATACAGTCACTGACTAGGACTCTCTACCCCTTTCTCTCTCTCTCTCTCTGTTTATACAGTAAGTCTACATTTGCTGCTGTGAGTAGATGTTCAGTGTGGGTAGATGAAACACGCTGTTGCTGGGTCAGCAGCTCGCTTAACCACTGCGTTCAGTCATTTAGCTGCACTAACTGACTGTGTCGAAAATCTTAATCATCTTCTGCTGCATTGCATTTCATTTTTCTTCTATCTCTCTGAATTCGTTATCACCTCTTATAGCTACATTTAGGACCTGTTATAATATGTGTGTCTAATTGTGTCTTAACATGATAAAAGAGGAGCTCTATCATCGTTATATATTCTTTTATTTTTTTCCTGCTCAAACACACACACACACACACACCACACACACACACACAAACACACACACATACACACACACACACACACACACACACGCACACACACACACACAGGCGTACCAATGGTTATCCACAATATGACACCACATCAGTCCTCTCTCTCTCTTGTCTGTCTGCCTCTGTCTCTGTCTCTCTTTCTTTCCTGTTGTCTCTGCCTCTCCCTCATACATACACAGGGTTGTGCACACATACACACCGCCTCAGCCATTCAAATACACATCTCCATCTACCACACATACAAACTAATATCTCAGGTAAGCACAGGGCCTAAAGTGACCTGCTGTCGTGGTGCGTGAATCCACTAAGGCTCAGAAAAGGTAATATCGTGCCCTCCCTCTTTCCCCTCCAAGGGTTGAGCCGTGATGTGGAGGTGCAGAGGTGAGGGAGGGGGGCAGGTGAGGAGGAATAAACAGATTTATTTGCCTGCGCCCCTCTCTGATTATTTTGCCCCTGCCTTTTGTTCCAGACCTTATGAAACCCAAATGTCAAGTGAGGCGAGGGCCTCATATCGAGCCCTGTCAATCACATCCCTCTGCGCACCTGAAGCCCTGACGCCGGATTATTGGCTTCAACACAAGGGCTGCCTTTGCCGCCAGCCACGATGCCTCAGACGATTCGACAGCCAAGTTTTTTTTTTTTCTAAAGAGGAACTTCATTTGGCAGCTGATGCGCGGGAGATTGCACAGGAGCGGATTTTGAGGGTAGATGGGTAGCAGGCTGAATGTGTGTGTGTGTGTGTGTGTGTATGTTGGGGGTGGGGGGTGGCGAGTGGTTTATAGAGGGAGGGGGGATTAAGGGAGGCGGGGGTAGGCTTGACTGGGGTTGAGGTGGGGAGTAGGTGGCGAGAAACCCCGGCCTTAACATCATGCTCAGTGCACTGATCCCGACTAGCTATCAGCACCTGTACATATGTCTCTTAATCTCTTTCCAGTCCTCCATCCTTTCTCTCTCTCTCTCTCTCTCTCACACACACACACACACACACACACACACACACACACAAACACACACGGCTTCCTGCAGTATCTGCTTATCTCTAATATTATACTCCCTCACTGTTGCTAACTTTGACTTAATGCACTCTTACACACACAACCCAATGGTCGCAGTATTAAATCTCTGTCAGAGTAAAAGAGTACTCCACCGATTTAGCATTGCCCTCCTATAACGGTGAGTGTGTTTACATGCACACCGCTATAGCCTACTGGTTTTGAGTCTTTTTGATCATACTTGGCATTATGGTGTTTACATGGAAAATGGGAAAACTGGTTGTTCATGTCCTTGTATACATGATCATAGTAGTATCTACTTTTCTGAGCATCTGTGTGCAGTTGTGTTTTGATGTCTCACCATCTCTGCCACTATGTTCTTCTGTACCAGCACAGAATCCTGCTTTATCAAGGTTTCTCAAAACTGGGATAGTTTTGTTTTTGTTTTTATTTTAGGATAAAAATCAATGCAGCAGAAGAAGCAACAGCAACTACATTACCCACAATGCAACTGGACTGCTGAAATTTAATGCGATATTACAGTGTGGTATGCTAGTAGTGGCTAATGCATAATAACATATTGATGTGTGTTTTGTTTTGCCATCCTGCAATTCCGTCCGATAGTTTGTTTTTCTCGTGCCGTCCAGAAAGTGCTTTCTGTCTTCCGTCTACCGCCTGTGAATGCAGCATTAGTTGTAACAGAGGATACAGTATTAGCTTCTAGCAGCTACTTATTGTTCCACAAGACACTTGGAGGTCTGTGGAAATTCTCTTCAGCATGGTGATTAGCTCCAAATTCGAGGCAGGATTCTTCTCATAAACAGATAGAGGCGACTCTATTACTAGACAAAAACGTCAATATTGGACGATTCTGCAAAAAAACCCCAAAAGACTTCCTGCATTGGCACTGAACATTGGCATTGGACGTACATAGTGAGAAGCAGAATTTTCCAATACAGACATAAAACAGTACAGATAGACCTTTTCATTGAATTACATTACATTGCTTGTATTAACATTTTGACAAATAAATGACTCAACTCTTCCTTTAATTAGGTAACTTGATAAGGCTTTTTGGTTTCCCTGACCTTTAATTGTGTATAATGTTTATAACATAATTGAAATGATCTCATGACATTTGTTTCTATTTGTAAATAAATAAAAAATCCTGGTAAATATTGGTGTAGTCTACATGTTGCTCTCAGCTGCAGGGAAACTCGTCATCTTTACAGCAATGTTCCAATCCTACACATTCTTGCTTTAACATCATGAATGTTCCCACTTTTTTCCATAGGAAAGCCTAACATGCATGGGTCTTTAGATTGTTCATTTTCAAAAAAAAAAAAAAAAAAAAAAAAAAAAGCGAATTAATTAAAACAAATGAATTGCCTGCATCGCTCCTTGCGTCACATTTATTTTTCACAAGTCAGCTAGCTTTTCTTCTTGCCTCCTTGAGTTTCTACTGGTTTGAATAATGACATCTTACACCATCTTATCCATTATGCTATATAACATGTGCATGTTAGCATGTATGACCACAAACTGCATGCACACTGCAGTTTTAATGAACAAGTAGGCTACATATGCTGTCTCCTTTACAAACCTATTCACAGACACATATCAAGGTGTAATACATATACAAGAGATATAGCGTTAGACTTAAAGATCCAGTGTGTACGAGGACCTGTTGCCAAAAATGGAATATAATATTGTTATATAAGTATGTTTTCATTAGTGTATAATCACCTGAAAATAAGAACCATTGTGTTTTTGTTACCTTATGAGCCGTTTTCTACAGAGTCTGCCATCTTTCTACTGTAGCACAGAATGGACACACCAAACACTGAATCAAGATAACGGCATTTCGCTTTCAAGTTTCATGGCTGCTGTAGGTTTCTACACGTTTGGAAGGGAAGCAGTATTCAGTTGGTTGCAATCTGCAACTTCCCTGCAAAATTCTAATAAGTCCTACACACTGCTCCATTAAAACACAGGATAGAAAAGAACAGATATAATTTCAAAAGAAATTAAGAAGATAAAAACAGAGAAATAAATGTCATACATTTACAACTGACTTCAAGGTGAGGACGCTCTTCTTGCTGTGCACAATGATCCTGCAGGTTTCTGTCCCACAGGTCAGCAGAGTTACAGAGGTATATTTACTATTAGACAATTGTATTGTCCTTTCACCATCACTCCATCCTCTGGGTATATAGAATAATAATATAGCACCTGTC